GACCCCTCCTTGGGTTGCCGAGGCGGTATCTCTATGGAAGTAGATTGCCCAACCTTCCTTCTGAGGAGTGGCTGGTGGGCTTGAATGTCTTAGGGACTACGCCACCAGAGCTAAAAAATACCACGGACTGCCAGAAGAATTAACAAATCCGTCCGGGAAGAAGTGCAGCCAGTATATTTGTTGGAAGTGAGAATGGCCAGACTTCATCTCACCTGCTTTGGCCATATTTTCCGAGGGGCTCATTCGCTGGAGAAGGCTGTCATGCTTGGTAAAGTGGAGGGTCGGCGTAAAAGGGGAAGACCCTTGATGCATGGTCTGACACTGCTGCAATGATGGGCTCAGGTATGGCAGGGATTATGAGGCTGGCACGGGACTGGGCAGTGTTTTGCTCTGTTGTGTGGGGTCACTATGAGTTGGACGGCATCTAACACCACCACCAAATAAACTGCATATTTACAGATTATTATGATTTTCTTTGTGACCATGACAATAAATGTGATAAATTTCTGTGATGGATGTAAACAAGATTTTGTGTTAGAGGATTTGGGGAAAGCTTTTTTTTTTTTTTTTTTTCCATTGGGTGCAAATTCACAAAGCAGATTGGTTTTACATTCAACAGTTGATGCACATTTGATTTTATGGCCCGATTACCATCCCCAACCATAACGAGCTCTCCTCCCTGTGCCCTTCTTCTCTGTGCATTCCTGTCTGGGCAGCTTGCCCTCTGGTGTCTCCTGGCTGGTTGCTCTAAGGGGTGCATCTCCCTACAATAGGTGGGTGCATCTCCCTGGGGTAGGTGTCCTGCATGTAGGTCTTTCTGCTGTTGGGCTGAGAGCCAGTCCACAGAAGTGAGTCCATTTCTGGGCTTGAACCCAGGACCATAGTCTCAGGGGTTCTACCAGTCTCTATCTGACCAGTAATTGTGGTCATTTTTGTGTTTTTGAATTTTGTTCCACATAGGGGAAAGCTGTTTTGAATAATGAAGTCCTTGGTTGACAAGAATGATTAAGGGTTTGGTTGGCTGTTCGAATCCACCCAGGGCTGCCTTTGGAAGTAAGGCCTGGCAATCTACTTCCAAAAGATCACAGTCATTGAAAATCCCATGAAGTGCAGTCCGCTCAGAAACACGGGGTCACTGTGAGTTGGAATCAACTCTACCTCAACTGGGTTTTGTTTTGTTGACTAGGGTGTTCAGGGAGGGCTTCTCAGAGGAGGTGGCATTTCTCCAAC